AAATTACCAAAAAAAAAAAAAAAACAATATTCACTTCAATTTCATTGTACCGCATCATGGCTTTGGCTTATTTTCTCAAGGCATACGGAGGAAAGGTGGTCATATGGAGTCACTAGAACCTCTATTGCTCGAGGACCACCGACGAGGGGGCATGCATAAAAATGGCTTTTGTTTTTCCCCCCACCGGATGAATCCAAAGTTAGTTCTGTACTCTTCAGTTTCATTTCTTTCTGTTTTCGTTGTTCTCTCTTTTGTTTACTTGACTTACCTTTATTGGCTGTATAAATGTATGTTTTACTTTAAGTCTTTTCTTTTCTCCTAACAGTGTTCTCACCTACAAATGTCTCTTTCCTATCAGTCACTCAGTGGTCCCAATCAACCAGAAAGATGGCTGTGCATGAATATTTAACAAGCAGTCTTCATTAGAAGTTAACTATGATTTTCAGTTTAATAAAGCATAAGAATAAGTATAATTGATATGGCCAGTGCTTGATCACAAACACATCTTCCATAAAGATTTGAGGCAATAGAGAGGCATACTGGAATAGAAATTGTCAAGCTAAATACTCGTACTTCTTCAGAAGAAAACAGTTACTGGAAATTTGGAGCTAAACTGAACAAGGCTATTTGCATTCTCAAAAAGAACTTTAGACCCTTACAAGAATTTCTAGGAGAATAGCCACAGTATGCCTTTTTATTAGTAAATTAGCGATTTAACTTATCCTACGCAATCAAAAACGAAACTTGATCTATCAAATGACAATCACTGTCTAAAAAGCAAATTGCTGGTTAAAAAAACCTCTACTCCTACTAAAGTCATGACCAATAAGACTCGAAAAATGTAATTACAAATTCAACTTGGGTCTTATAATACCTCGACAATGTTTTCGACAGGAGAACAGGACATTGTGCGACCCAAACCATTTGAATTGTCATATTGGAGAATCCTCAACTTCCCTTCCTGCAAAATTTTAAGGAAAATAAATCATGATGAGAGTTCAGAGATGAGAACAGATTTATCTTTAGAACCAAGAAACATAAAAGCTCATAAAAAGTCATTGTTTACCTTGGTTCCATAGACAAGGCCACCACCAACCGAAGGATGGAAGCAAGCGACATTAACCTCATCCTCCGCACTGGGGAGAACTCTCACAAGTTCCATATCAGAAACTCTATAGACCTGATTCGCAAACGTACAAGTTGAAACTAGAAAAAACAGAATATGCAAAAATAGAAGGGGAAAACCTCTCCTAAAGCTGCCAGCACACAGGCATCCAATTTCAAGAGATCAATTTAATATTAAGTTGCCCCAATTAAACTAAAGTGCCACCGGGTTCCTTCAACTTCTAGGGTTTTTCTTCACTTCTCAGCTTTCACCTTTAAAGGCTTATTTTATTTGCATGACGTAGTTGTATTCGACTTAGCTCTTTGAAGCAGATGTCTAATGAAATTACAAAAAATGCTTACTCATAAGCAAGGAAGAAGGGCTGATTTGCATTAATTAAGTTGTTCACGGTTACTTTGTTAGGGGTTAGTCAATCAATCAACTAGCATCAACGCCAAACTTGTTGGGGTACATTAGATCAATACATTAATCTATTATGTGGACATATTTTATACCATAACTAAATAGTTTATCTTTTAAAGCAATTAGACGTTCTCTAGATCTCACACTTATCTCTACACAGACACACAAGTCTCTAACTAGTCTAAGACGATCCCTGCTAGGTTAAGTTTAAAAACAACTCAGCACTAATTCCAAGTAGTTGATATCACATTAATCGATCATTTGCTTCCATTACGTTATGTTCTTAATCAAATTCGTATTAATTTAGAGAAATTTTAAGTCTCGAGATACGACTTTCCTCCAAATAGTTTTAGGTCTACCTCATCCTGCTTTAGTACATTCACTCATCATACATCAATGCCCGTCTACTTCCTATCCTTCCAATCACATCCCACTAGACCAGACAGAGAGGTCATGCAACAAAGGTTAATATAAAGTTCAGACTTTTACTAGTTTGAGCAACAAGGCTCAATTCCCTTATACAGCCAGTTAATGTTGTTGAACAACCTCAAGTTCTCTGGCTGATATAGCAGGCCCACAACCAAGGCCTCAAAGGATTAAGACATACAAAGCACAAGGCACAAGCTACATGTGTTTCCTGCTTCATGTTATCATCCATTTTAACATGAATCTAAAAACCTGCAACGAGCATGCCAAGCCAATGGGTAAGTTCAACCCTTGTCAACATTGTAATTACACAAGTGCACCAAACATTCTAGTATACAACAACAACAACAACCCAGTGTAATCCCACAGGTGAGATCTGGGGAGGGTAGGATGTACGCAGCCTTACCCCTACCCTGGAAGGGCAGTCTCACTGTTTCCTATAGACCCTCGGCGCACCAAACATTCTAGTATATTGCCACAAAATGGGATAAACAAAGTGGCATTGTTTAACAGTTGTATTAACTATTATGTACTGACTCCAGCCCATTTTTCATTATATAAGGCTAGTAGATCAAATACAGAAATCAATTGGTTTCATTAAACCAGCTATATGTTGTGTTTTCAATGATGTTTTTACATAAGGAGGCAAAAGATGATATCCTGAGCATTTACATATCCAGGACTGCGACCTAACACAAATAGATGCGTCAGAAGTTCCATAAAGATTACTTCTCGATACAATTTTCAAATCATTTAATTCTCATGCATTGATTCTTTATTGTCCGTTAGGGTAGAATATTCATATGGGATTTTCTTACTTTTTTCGTGTGCGGTACATGTTCCTTCTGTTTCAAATATAAAGAAAAGACTTGGTAAAAAAATTGTTTCATAGAGAAAACACTATATCATGGAACTTTAATTTCTTGAAATTTCTACAGGTTATTAAAAATATTATGATAAGTACATCAAACATATTTAGATGCCCAAAGAGAAAATGTGCAACAAAAATTAAGACAAGTATCAATAAGTGTTTACATAATGTAGCTATAAAGACCCATGAAAGTAGTAATCTAATAATTTTTTACGCCCGACACAAGATGGTTCTCACCTCAAGAATCGTGTAAATGGGTATAGTTGTGTCTCCATCAATAACAACACTTTTAAGTAGTGAACTATGGCGACGCCCATAAGCAAGTAACAGATGCTCTGAAGCTGGAGAAAACTGCAATTATAATGGATGTGGAGCCCCAATCAATGTCTCAGATCAGTAAGCAACAGAGAATAGTCCAAAAAATACAAAGTTAATTATTATGTGTTAATGATTGACTCCCTTTTTTCTTTTGGAGAAGTTATGTGTCAATGATTGACTAAGTTCACAAAAAGAAGAATTAAACAACTTGTGAGATCCATCTTGACGTCATGCCAAATCCAATTTTTAAATATTGTTTGTTTGTGGAGGGCGAGCATTAAGGTTGTAGGTTAGGAGGTAGGAGGCTAGCCTGTGTTTTGTCTTAGGCTGCTAGAGGCTTCAGTTGTGTCCATATTACTTCTTTAGGGCTGCAGGTTTGGTCGTAGGAGGCTAATCCGATAGTGTAGTGTCTAAGGATGCTAGTGACTCTTGTTGTATCTATATTATTCCATTGTGTCTGTAGTACTGTGTCATTGCTAGTGCTTATTGTTATTGCTTTTCTCTCTATTTTCTGGTTATTACGTTGCTGATGTTACCTTTCTTGCTTCCTCTGCTGCTACTGCTCCACTATCTCTTTTCATTTTCTTGAGCCGAGGGTCTATCGGAAACATCATCTTTACTCCTCCGGAGTAGGGGTAAGGTCTGCGTACACATACCCTCCCCACACCCCACTTGTGGGATTCCACTAGGCTGTTGTTGTTGGTTTTGTTGACTACTATTGGTAATATCTCACCAGGTACTGGTATGGAGTAATATGGATCAGAACTTCTATTCTATTGATGGGTATATGCAAAGTGCTATGAAAGCTCGATTATACGAGTCAGAATACTATCCGTAGATGTAAAGAAATCTACAATATAAAAATGTCATGAAACTCAATAAAGACTTGACCTAATGAATAACACTTTATGAATTAACCTCTCCTATCTCCTAATTCTCTCAATCTTTGTCCACTTTTTCTCCCTTCTCACTTCTGGTACCACCAAAAATAGATACATTTCTTAGAAAGGCTTGTAATTTGCATATAACTTTTTGTCAGGAAAGGAGGACCGGCTACACAGTAAAATACTATGACATTCCAAACTATGGAAGACAAGAAAGAGTCAATCTACCACTAGATAAGGCAACTTTCACATAAAAAGCAGAAGTCAGTTCTCGACGAGAGATCAACATCCTGTGCCATCTCTGGACTAACAGATCTTATCATAATCACGTGCTCAATCTCATTTTAGATTTTCATTCACTAAACGAAACAGAAGAGAACAGAACCCTTTCCTCTACTTTTCTCTTCCATATAGAACTAATATTCTTCCAGTTCCTATTCCTACAAGATCTAAAACAAAATGATCAAAACTATTAGATCTAGAGTTTTATTTCCTTAGTCAAAAAAAGGCAAAGAGAAAGAAAAAGATCCAGAGTTTAATATCATAAAGAATGTTCCTTCTCTACCAGAAAACAAGTTTGATCTTACAAAGCCATGAATGTAAATAACACAAATAAAGCATTTACCTGAATTGAAGTTAAACAATGAGCAGCTCTAATTGCTCGAGATGCAAGCACTGAACCAAACCTACATAAGGAGAAAGAGTATCAAGTAACCAACAACCATAGCAGGAACCGAAATAGAGAATGGGGATAAAATAGACAAAAAAGGAAGAAAAAGGAATAAAAGAAAAATAGAAGCTACTGTGATTGGGTATTTACGTTGCCTCCTCCAGGGAATATATCCGTAGCTCATACATAACCTGGTGGGCAGCAACTGGATGTCTGGTTGGAGAAGTTCCAGCTGCCATA